TTGGTGAAAACGCGCCGTTTGACTTTTGAGTTTGACCTTTTCTTTTTCTCTTTCCTTTGGAATTAAGACACAAAAGAGGATTAAAAATGTTTAGGTGAACTCAATAAATATGAGAAAAACAAAATCTGATTCTTGACTTTTGAACAAATGAAAATGATTGGAAAAATTGATTCCAATCATTTTCCGATTGTTGGGAGGTCTCTATTGAGAAATGATGTCTGACAAAGTCGGGTGGTAAAACGTTGAACACGACCGTCACAAAATCAAAGAGAAATTTTTAAAAACTAGTGAACTAATGTAGCTGTGATGCAACATAAACAAAACATATGCCCTAAAACGTGAAATCTGGAGTCATAACCTGCTGCAAAAATACAGAATTAAAATCCTCAGAGTCACTGCTCAAGTTTAACCAGTTCAAAATCCCCTCCCCAGGTTTACATCAGCTGAGCTAACACCTGCCAGCTTCGTCTCTGAGGGCGTCAGGCCTCAGAGACGAAGCACACAAACATCGCCAGTCACACGTTGTCACTTACGCCTGCCGTCGCATTTCGACTTTGTCTGCATATTTATCATGAGATAAACAGGAAATGGATTTCAATCAACATTGATACCGCTCTGTGGTTATCTTAGCACAAAGAGGTGAGAAAATGCCCCATACCTGTGAGTCAGTGTCACTATGGCCGCAGCGCCGCTCATTACGTGTGAGTCACAGTGGAACATTAAGATGGAGCAGGAAAGAAGAGACTGTGGTATTCGAGAAGGCAGAACTGTAGTCGGATCATAGCAGATGGTTATGAAAAAATATGTATTATGTTGTTTTGCTTTTTTAGTTAACAGTTCAACTAAGCCTGACACAATAAGCAATAAATATATTAATCCTATGGTAAAATAAATGAGCCTGATCATTTTAATTTGAAGGGCAATTTTGTTTACCAACTTTACTGCCCAGCAGAGAGGACTATATATAAAAAGCTAAAACATGCATAACATATAAGGTATCATGCAATCAACCTCCCACTGTTACAACATCGCAGCTCAGGACGAGCAACTGATGTAAAACCTTTTACCAACTGGCATTATAAACTGAATTTTACAGCCCTGCAAACTAAATTAGATTTTTATTCTTTATAACTGGTTTGATCTGACTCTAGATTTCATTATTAAACTCTAGAAATATAAACTAAAGCACTTCTGGCACATCCATGTTTTACAGCGTTCAATGTGGGGAGCGAATCTGTCCAGTCCAGAAAAGCACTCTAAATATACAAAGCCTATCACCGTCTGCACATCCAGAGAAACTGTGGTTGACAGAGCTAGCTGTGATTACAGCATTTTTCTCAAAGCTGTGTCCTTCTACTCTACAAATAATCGGTCTACCCAGCCAAGCTCCAGCTAGCTTGCAGCTGTCTGGTTGCAGCACCACGTCTAGCTGCCGCCTGCATGGCGAAGCCGCCAAGCGTTAGAGAGGGGCCATCTATGTGCGCACTGCAGTAGCTGACATAATGCCGAAGCTTCCACCGCATCGCCTTCCTCCCCCCTGCTCTACTTGCTAAACTCTTTACTCACTATTCCCCCTTTGCCTCTCACTTCCAGTCCATCCCCACCCACTGCTTGGAAAACGACTCGCTGTGCCACGGTTTTCTACTCCATCACAACACAAGAGTCTGAGTTGCCTTGCTGCCTCATCGGTCCTTGGGTTGACCTTACAGTCAGTTACACGTATGTGTTTACATCCTACGGTCCTGAATCAGAAACGCAACTTGCTCCCTGGCAAGGCCGTATTCAGGCCACCGCTAGCCAGTCCATGACCCCCCCCCCCTCCGTCTCTCTTTTATACACAACATACCGCTCCACTCTACTCTGTATGGGCCTGTTACCAAGGCAACGGCAGGCAAATATTTTGTGCGTGAAGCGAGGGAGGTCGATAAGATAGGGGAGGAAGAGAGTGAAGTAAATGGCAGAGTGAAGGAAATGGGAGGTACGGAATAAAAAAAGCAAGAAGAAGAAGACGGCTCGCTCGATGGAAAAGCTGCCGTGACCTTTTACTTAGCTGCAATCCAGCCAGATCCTCCTCCTCTCCTTTCCAACAACTTCCTGTCGTGTACATGCCACCGCTGCACCTATCATCTCAGCGTTGTGTACTCGTCTGAAGCGCCAAGCTGGAACAGTTTGTACCACACACACCCCGTAACCTTATTAACAGACCAAAGTTTTTAATCAAGGGAATCCTTTATTTCTGCCAGACAAGACAGAAGGAATACATTACGAAGAAAGCAGCTACATGTATGTAAACAACATGACATGACAGTAGAAATTTGTGATCCAAATTAACGAAGCCAGAGGCCGATGAAGCCGTACGAGTCTCCATCATCTGCACAGTTTTACCAAGTACGTCCATTTCAGTAAGGAAGGAATTTAAGTGCTTAAACTACCAAACAATGAAGAAAAAACTGATATTAAGCCATACCAAAGATCTCTAAAGTTACAGCTTCAAAGTCACAAAAACATTTTAGGTCATGCTGTAGCTGCAGTTTTAAGGCTTTAAGGCGCAACGATCAAGAGTTTTCTCCAACTTTATGGGGCACAGAAATAAAACGGCGCTGAAAGACGAGCTTTCGCTTCAATCGGCCTTTTCGGATAGATTTAGTGAAAACAAGAAAGCAAAATTCAGCCTCTCTCTATTAAATATGCCTGCATAGCTGCCGACTGCATGCTGGCTAACAAATCTAATGTCTCAACAAGTCAACCTCCTCATTTCAACCCGTTGCAGAATCAGAAATAATTCTAACCCCAATTTTTTTCCCCCATAAAGGAATGTAATACATAAAAAAAGTGTGTTGTAGTTATTTGATAAAATTTTGAATCAAAAGGAAAAAAATGAAGGATTCTTTCAATTTATTTGATTGTATTGAACCAAAAAATTTTAAGAAAGAAGTTTTTATGATAAACTTAAACATTGTAAACCGACAGAGTCGTTATTGAAGCATCTTAAGCAGGTGAAAAATCTGTCCCTGGCAAGAAAAAAACCAAAGTAAAATATAAATGTTGCTAAATTTATATTAGCAATTACATATTATTGTATTACTGTAGCAGCAGCAGGAATAAATGGCACTTTTCGGTTTTAAGAAAAAGCAATAAGATGATGGTGTGCTTTTGAGTAATCTTTCTCAAAAGGCTTCCTCACACCCGCCATTTAGCAACTATGACTCAGGTCCGAAAACAGCAAAGTCATCCCATGTGCAAGTAAGTAAAGGCCGCCAACTTGCCCTTGTCTCGTGCTTATGTAAATAGCAGTGTGCATGTACTGAGGGCAAAGTCTGATGGTAAACATGGGATGAACAAGGTTATAGATCAAATACTGTAGAAGTACAGACAAGTATAGGACAGGAAGGCCAGAAAGAAAACACACTTATCACTGTAGATAGGTGAAGAAATTGCTTTGCTCCATACCTATTTCACCTCATTATCTTAAACATCTCATTTATAGCACTGTTGATTAGGCAAAAGCTGTGGGAATGGGCCTCTGGCTGCACGCATTCAGGTGTCACCTTTTCTTAATTCCTCCCCAGGGAGCGGTAATGTGCCTACATGCCAGACCGCATGTGCCAGTACGTCTTCTGGATCCATTTCCTAATGGGACATAACAGTTTACATGGTTCACTGCGAGCAGAATAATCTAAGGCCAAGACTTGACATCAGCAGGTTTTGATCTTTCTGCCAGGCTTTTACGAAAACAATTTTGATTCGCATTGTCTGGAGGTGTTACAATGTGAATCCTGCCGAGACAGCGAGCGCCGCGCAGCTGGGAGCAGGCGAGTCTCTCGCTTACAGCACGACAGCAGATCCTGGAAAGCAGTCAGCACTAAAAACTAAAGTTACAAGAGAGGCTGATGCACGAGTAGAAAGTCTGATTGAGACATTTCTAAAGGGGGGTTTTCACTCGAGCTTTTTCGTGCAGCTCACATGGAGTAAGAGATCAGATAAGGGGGAAGGAAAATAAACAAGAACGTCTCCCTTCTACCATGCAAGTAACACGTTTGTGTGGTCAAAGTGATGGTAGAAAATGCTGTCAGAGATAAAGTGATGGCAGAGGAGATAGACTTTTTTTTTTTTAAACTTTCTTCTTCTAGGTAGCTGTGGAATGAAGACAAAAACAGGGGCAGTGACTTATCCGTCTCCATGTGCTGGAAAAATCACATGGCTCACCCTGACACGCTACCTGTGGAGTAAGTGTGTTCGTTTGTGTGCGTAGGCCCACATGCCGGCGCTACAAACGCGGAGATAACGTGGAGCAGAAAAGGCGTCCAACCAATAAACAACGTCAAAAGACGTCACGCAAACACTAGGGGTTATTTTGTTGCCAGCATTTATCCTGAGATGCAGGGGAATAATATTCGCCCTGGGTGTCTGTGGAACTGCTCCCGTCCAGGCCAGACTTTGAGGGTTTGCTCAACCTCAGCAAGCTGAAACATTTGTGGCCGTGAAAAACATGATAGTTATGTTATGGAAACTAAAGACGATAGTCTGACCAATACCAGGAAGAAGATAAATCAGAGCTACATGTAATGCCAAGGCAAAATGAAAGCATCCATACTTTCAGAATGAAGATTCTATACATGCATATTTGAACAAATTTATGAAGGTTCAAATTTACTTTATTTTGAAAAACCAACACCGCCTGATACTGTCTGGCTGTGAAGGTGGCTGCTATGCGCCGCTCTGCTCTCAGGAGTTAAGGAAAACAGTCCAAAGTAGAGGGAAAGAAAAGGCAAAAGAAATGTACCTAAAGAAATTAAATGCATTTTTAGTTTGTATGCTGCATCTGAATGACAGTAATGTTGTTAATTAATGTAGTTTCTGATAATTATGGTATGTAATCAGCAGTGTTGTGTAACTTCCCCCCACCCAGTTGTCTTTTTCTTCCAAGATTTGTTTTTAGGAATCCTGTGATTATTAAATTTGCTCCAGAGTCCACACCCTCCTAAAAACCCGTCTCTCACCTTAGTGCGTCCATTGATGACACAGTTCCCCAGCTGCCCTTTGGCAGCGCTGTACAAGATGGCCTCGTCAATGTGAGCCATCAGCGTCCCGATGCTTTGGCACTCTCGCTCCTGCCCCTTCACCCAGGCAATCTGGTCACCTCGGATGTTCCGGGAGGGAATGTCCGCCTGGCTCACCAGCTGTCCGCCCCGGAACTTCCCACTCTGGTTCAGCGCCTCCACCTCCTTCAGGACGCCGTCTCCCAGTTGCCCACCGAGGAAGTTATCCTTCACACAAATACCGTAGTACTTCATGCAGGGGATAATGTACTGCTTGGCGATGCGCTCCGCTGACCAGGCGGTCCCGGCAGGAGGCAGCAGGCCAGGGATGGAGGGCAGGCTTGGTACAGCCGCAGGGTCTGGGGATGCTGCGTAATGTCCATTTCGCATGTTGGCATTTTCAGGAGAGCAGTTTGGATGGTTGTGAGAACTGCTGCTGTTGACGCCGACTCTAAGCGGAGCGACCGTTCGGGCCACTCTGCGCGGTTCAGATGACTTGCTAGCCACAGTTCCATCAGCTAACTTCCGCCGCTTTAAATCCGACTCCCCTGCTCCACAATCCGGGTCTGCTGAGCATCCTAACCCCGGCGACCCCGCAACATGGCCATTGAGGATTTCTGATCCAACGTCCCAATTCTCTCCATTCCTCCTCTTCTGCTGCTGCTGCTGCGCCTGCCTGACTTTCAGGTCCTCGTTGATTCTCCTCGTTCCTAAAGAGCATATGTCATGAGCAGTTCTGTCCCCGTCCTCCATCGTGAGGCTTCTGCTGTTGAAAGTGCAGACGGAGCCACCTGTCTTTGCGCCCATCCCTTCCACTTGAGCCGGGTAACTATGGGGCGTGTGGGCCAAAGCCTCGGCCTGGCTGGCCTCCACGGTGGCCGACGGAGACACCACCCCGCCGTTGTAGAGTGGGACGCCGCTTTTGGACTGCTTTGTGGGGCTGGTGATGCCCGGGGAGTTCGTCTGCGAGGCCATGTCGGCAAGCAGCTCAGCGGCCGTCTGAGTCCCAGTGGGCCCTGCGCAGAAACCGTTCAAACCCATGTCTGCCTGGTATGAGTTGTAGATCTCCGTCTGCTGGCTTCTTCTCTCCTGCGACTCTGAAAAAATGGTTGGTCCGAGGCGAGAGTTTGTCTTCAAGAGCTCCTTCAGCCCCAAACTCTCCATTTGATCTCGTCGTCCGCTGGGTGCACACGTACCTCACGTCCTCCCTTCATTTTCCAACTGAGCCGCTGCTTCCTCTTTCGGAGAGGCGCGCTGCAAGTATCATGTCCCCAATCCTTCGTCTGCTCTGATTTCAGCAGCCACTCCGCAGCTCTGCGTTTGTTTCGGTGCGCCTTTCAAACATATTCAGGCAGCGTCGAAAACCTGCGGACAGTAAAACGATCCGTTTTTAGGTCTATATATAGGTGTAGTGCAGACCATCTGTTATGGAGAGCACTAGTAACATAAAACTCCACGTTTCTGTGATGCAACATGCACATGTTGCTGTGTGGTCTGAACTGTTAAAGGTGCCACAGTTCAAGACATCAATAAGGAATTAATTTCAGATTTGTAAATCTTTACATAGAAACTATTTAGGATCATCTTTTTAATTTAAGTAAGGATTTAATTACATTAACTGATTAAAAGCATTCAATTAAAAATGATTTTTTTTTTATTGAGTTGTGCAATCTGATGTTGGGTCTGTCAAATGACCTTAAATTATTTCACGATGGACATTACCACATAAAGTGTAAAATAAGGGATTGTAAATTCATACTGAAACAAAGTTTGACAATTATTTACTTGCGTTTCTTATAATTTAAATTTTGTTTCAATTTAAAATTCATAAAGGCTTTTATTAGGCTTTATTTTAGATAAATTCAGTACATCAGTAAGTTAAATAGATACCCATTATACATTAAATTTACACAAAACTGTAAATTCATACATTAAACATACTCATCATTTCAATTACTTAACACATCTATAAGCATAAATAATTTGTTATAATTATAAGCTAACTTAATTAAGTATTATTGTATTACGTTATTTATCTTTTATGGTTTATAATATGGATTTGTCATCTGTTTGATGTATTAAAGTAAGAGAGCAGGGAAATGCTGCTTGTTATTAATTGTAATGCATCATTTGCAAAATGTAACAACTGCAATCATTTTAGTTAAATTGTTTTATTTAGGTTTTTCAAATATTTGTTAGTAATTTATTTAAACCATCACTTGCATAGGAAGGTAAATAAGAAAATTATTACAGTTGTACGTCAAAATAGATTTTCATGCAAAAGAAATAAATTAACTTTTTAACAATACCAAAAATCAGAAATACAACAAAATAACAGAAATGTTTCAAATACTGCAATAAAACTTAAAAAAACAATCTTAGGAGAATGTTCTACATGTGTTGGTGTTACTGTAAAAGTAAGTTAGCTGGCTTGTAATATCCCCCTTATTCCTTTGTTCCATAACGTAAAATGTAATATTTTCACCATTAAAAAGTGCAAGAAACAATTTTGTGCTTTGAAACAAGGAGGCATTTTTGAATGGAATACAGGAAAGATTTGAGGGGACAAGTGGAGAGCAGAGGACGAGAGAAAAATAACTTGTATGGGGTTAGGAATGGTGGCTGGTGGGTGTGGTCTCAATAGGACCCCAAACATTCTTGATTGGGCTCTGACAGTGAGCCATGGTGGGAAACCTAGAGCCTTTACTGGTGACACAAAAAGGCCTGTATTCTTGGATATCTTTTGATTTTATCTGAAGAGTTTAAAAACAAAATACCAAGCGTGGTAGTGGTGCATTACCATTAAAAACCTACACGGTCGTACCCTGTATAAGTCTTATTTTGAATATTAATCATAAAAAATATGACTAAAGGCACACAGAAAAAATAACTATTCTACTTTGATTATACAGCATCAGAATAAAAACAACCGGCACTATTGTTGTTCTCAAAAAGTAAGCGTTTACGAATAAAATTTAAAAGGATTTTCGATGACGCAACCGTAAAAATAATTTATTTCGTCTTTGTCTGGTTTTAATCACCAACTTAACAGCTCCATACATGATTGTAATAAATTTCACAGAATATTAAATGAATATTTAAAAAATAAGGGTGGGTTTTATTAAAGAAGTGCATTTTAAATTTTTAAACAAAGAGGTAATAACGTGGAAAAAAAGCATGTGAAATCTCTCGCTGGCAGAGAAAACCGTACACTTACCTACCTACGGCAGCCATACAGCAATGCAAATCCTCAGCGAGCCTACGTGACAGGCTGAGAGTACGCATGTTATTTCCGGGAGTGTCTCTGCTCGGCTCGGCGGTACGTCCCATCCGATTTTTTTTTTTTTTTACGTCGGTTATAAATAATGCCCAGGTGGCGACAGCAATCAAACGTCGCTCTGACACATGAAACCGCGACCGGGAGACGGAGGGGGATGCTCCGAGCTGGACGAGCTTCCCTCCGACAGCCACAACCAGCGCTCCCCGTTGTGTGGAGGAGCTCCCCGAGTTTCTGTCTGCCTCCCTCCCCCGTACTCCTCGTACTCTTCCCCCCTCCTACCATGGCTCTATGTCTACTCCCGCCTGCCATTTGCATGCATACAGACCATGTGACCTGCATCTACCGCCGACGTTCAGTTGCACAAGCGTTATCCGCTATTGTCACAGAATGTAAAAAGTAAGCTGCGCTTGTAAAATAAATAAATAAAAATAAAAACAAAGACAAATTGCGACAACTTGACATGAGTTATGATGCATTAGAGTATTTTCTGAAATAAGAGTGTTAAATAATAAAGTCATCCCTAGAGTGAAAAAACAGATTAATAGGTTTGATTGGAGAATACAGAAATAAAGGTCCAGATATAACTGTAAAGTCAGTGGCGGTTGTTACATGATTGGGTTCCCAGGCAAGACCATATATTTCCCCCATCTTCCTCTTGCCACCTATACATCCAAATAG